CATACCTCCTTTTGAGTTGTCTGTCAAGTAGGCCTCCATGTCATCCCAAATAACAATCTATTTCTACACATTCTGGTTGTTTGTCATAACTAAATGATAAGACTCTTTGTTGAAGATACCACACAGTCTGGTTGCAGGGCATTTAGAATTCAATCTCTAGCAGACAAGGAATTTCTGCCTTTCATCATAATAAAAGTTGGAGTTCCAGTCACTGGTCATGAAATACATCAAGAATCTATCCAGTCTTGGACCTTTCCTATGACAACAGTGACCTGCCAGGCAAGCTGTCCACAATGGTTGGGTGGTAGTTATGTAAATAACCAACCTGGTTAGGAATGGATGGGAGACCTGCACCAAGCAATGGATTAAATATCTGATGCTGTAAACCTTGTCAAAAACTTATGTCTGGAATAGTCATAAGCTAGTTCAGGAGAATCAACTAGTGCTATTATTATTTACATTTATACTCATAGGTTTGTTCTGCTCTCATTGTTGGTCATATGATATTTTTTTTCAGAGGGTAATAGTTAAAGTAGAGACTCATAACCAGTTAACATGATAAGGATAAGCCAGTGTGAAGGTTCATCTGCAGATGGGTCATTTGCATTGACCTTCCACTACTGAAAGCTCAAGAAACAATGAGGAAGAATGGTTTGAAAACAATGTAAGAGTTTGAATCTGGAGAGAAGTACACTGAAATGTTCTTTGGGGGATATGGCATAACGGATGCACAGATCAACTCAGAACAGCTGTGTCTTACACGAGACTTGCACAAGCTCAATCTAGTCAAGATGCCAGCATGAATGAGGAAACACCTCTCAAGGCCCCAGCACCAAATGAGGAGCATTTGGCCATGGCTGGTTGTGAAAGGAGGAGATTAATTTATCTGTGGGCTGTGGCTTAGGACAGATTGCTTATGTCCCAGGAGGTGTCTTCACACACATTCACAGATGGTCAGCCCTACTTGGACTCAGTGGGCTATTAATAGTAATTTTAAGAGCCGGGCAGTGGTGGCACACACCTTTAATCTCAGCACTCAGGAGGCAGAGACAGGCGGATCTCTGTGAGTTCAAGGCCAGCCTGGTCTAAAGAGTGAGTTCCAGGAAAGGTGCAAAACTACACAGAAAAACACTGTCAAAGAAAATAAAAACAAAAACAAAAACAAAAAAATTAATTTTAAGAGACATTAAACAAAGAAGAAGAAGAAGAAGAAGAAGAAGAAGAAGAAGAAGAAGAAGAAGAAGAAGAAGAAGAAGAAGAAGAAGGATGATGAGTTCCACCAACACAAGGTGGAGGGAGTCAGTGGTGAATGTAGTTTTCAAAGAATAAATAATAAGAATACATAAAAAATTTACGTTCTATGTATTAATTCTAGAAGACATATTAAATTTAACCTTATTTGGCCTATGGAACCTAACTGTGGATACAGCATAAATGTGCAATGTAAACTGAAGAATTTACTTACAAATGGCTACTTAGTCTTTCTAGCATGGTGCTGCCTCTGCTCTTCTGAGGCATGCTCTTGGTTTTCCATGACAGATGCTGTTAAGAAGTGCACATATTTCACTAATCAAAGTACAATGAACATTTAGGGGAAAAGCTGTCCATTGCTATAATGAAGACACTTTAGGAATGAGAAAATACTTACTTTCATTTTCCCAAGCAATAGTTTGAATTAAGTATAAACTGCAGTGGAAATATTTAACTTTTCTTCTCAATTTAATAAAGAATCGCTCTTAAAAACAGGTGTTTGGGTATGGTTTTTCTCTCAACAGAGGTTTAGGAAGCAGCCCCACTGTATGGGAGTTTCCTTCACTTACATATTCAGATTGATCTCATATATTTCTGAAGATAAAGCAAATGAAATATGGACACCTGAGAGGTGGGAGCAACGACTCCGTCTTTGACAAACAAAATCTTATCTGTTGCTCAGATTTGATAATGTGTGTGTTATTACCATTCTACTAATCCTTTTGCTTCCTATATGTGTAGTTGTCTGTCTATTACAGATAGTGTTCTGTTCTATACACAATCATCCTATAGAACAAGTATATTTTAAAATGTAGTACCTACTTCTCTCTTGATGCATTATTACATTTTTTTTGCATCATTGTCCATATTGGCTGAGTTGGGAGCTTTTGTGAAAAATTCCTGGGGTCCATTAGGGTCAGACACACTCTATCAAAAGGAGTATTGGTAACATATGTTAGAAAGGTCTTATTTGATTTCTAAGAATACACTTGAATTCCTAATTTTATGATACTTGTACTTGAAATTCTAGGTAGTATATATTGAAGACAATGACATTTTAATAGCAAATCTATTGTGCACAGTAAAGTTTAAATCTATCCTTCATTTTTCATGGCACTTCACAATGTAAGAGGTACAAAGAAAAAAGGAAACACATTCAGAGGATTTGACCTGATGCACAATATTAACAAAACAAAAGCAACTACTTTTATATAAGAACTGTTAATGCTATTTATATTCCCAAATGAATTTGGAGGATATTTATAAAATAAAGAATTGCCTACAATTTCTTTGGACAGTGTGGTACTTTGAATGCAAATGGGGCCCATAAGCTTATAGGAAGTATCACTCTCAGAAGGTTTGGCCTTGTTGGTGGTGGTGTGACCTTGTTGGGGGAAGTTTGTCTCTGTGTGGGCCATTTGAGGTCTCCTGTGCTCAAGTTACACCCAGAGTAGACACAGGCTCTTTTACTGCTTGCTGATCAGGATGAGAATTCCAGTTAATAGATTGAGCTGAACATTGTAAAGGATTCAAGAGGATAGACAAACCTGTCTCTTATCACCTCAATGCACTCATGTTTTCTTCCATTGAGGATGATGTTGGCTCTGAGTTTCCCCTTATATAATTGTTATTGTGTTGAGGTATTTTCCTTCTTGTCTTACACTCTCTGGACTGTTATCATGATGGAATATTGGATTTTGGGTAGTTAGAATATAAAGAATTCATTGTTACTTCAAATCTGATCCATGATATTCACATTGAGTCTTGTCTTTACCCTGGTGTATAAATACATTAAAAATAGAGCAATTACAATGATCAGAAATTTACTTACTATACATCAAAGGAAATATTTAGCAATGTCATGGGATTCTAAGAATGCTTTGTAATGAAGAATAGATTAAATGCTTTCATTTTATTACTCAATTATTAATTTTTTGACTGAATAATTTGGTTTAAAATGTAGCATGTGGGTCTATGGCAAAGTCATTGAAGCAAACAATAGGAAATGAGAAATTTAAATTTAAATTTTACGTACAAATTCTTGATTTTCTGCACTCTTATCAAAACTTCTCTCATTTTCCACTTTAAGTTCTGTTATTTCTTCTTCTAGTTCTTCTGAAAATATTATATCTTTTACATAAAAAATATGAACAACAATTAGGAAAAATAATACTCTATAAAAATAGAAATAATGTAAAGTTAGGGTTTTATTTTTTATATGTTATTTCAATTAACCACATTGTAGAGGTGTATATTTACATCCTCAAGAAAGCTTGTAATTGTAGACAAATCAAGACTTGGACAGGTACTACATATTGGCCAGTTTTGAGTCATACATGCTTCATATGATTTGTCATAAAGCTCATAAATGACCTATATGCTTACATCCACATATGAAGGAACTGTGGAAAATAACACTTTCATCCTGTAAACTATACTTGCCTTGCAAGAGTAACTTGTGTAACTCACTGTTCACTTCCCCCAAATGGTACTTGGTTTACCATACATTTTTCTGTGAACAGGATAACATGCTTTTGCTCTGCACTGAAACTGCTCCGATTTTTGTTTGTTTGTTTTTTCGAGACAGGGTTTCTCTGTGTAGCTTTGGAGCCTTTCCTGGAACTCACTCTGTAGACCAGGCTGGTGTCGAACTCACAGAGATCTGCCTGCCTCTGCCTCCAAAGTGCTGGGACTAAAGGCACCACCGCCCGACAAATTGCTCTTTTATGACTCACTTTATCACATGGAGTCATTCTGTACTGTACATCCTTTTTTTCCCAAGAAAAATGGGTATTGCTGTAGCTACCCTAGCTTAAGATAATGCTTAAACTCTTCTTTTCGACTTCAACTTGAACCCACTTTGATACAGTTGTATTCGTTTTTCTCCTTGACATGTAGGAACTATATTAAAGGTTATTCTAAGATCCGAAGATCTCATTTGCTTTTGTTTCCTGTTTTCTTTTAATTACTTTGTGTGATTCTGATAGGTTTTGACTTTTAAGTTTTGAAAGTAAGTAAGTCATTGCAGACATGGTTTCTTTACTGATATAAACACAGAGAGATTAGTTTCAGACAGTAGAGTACAGAGAAATGAAAAGGTGTAAAAGCAAATAAGATGTGCATATAAGTAATGAGATTTTCAGTGACTGAACTGCAGTATGTGAGTGTACCCTAATTTATTGAAATAGATTATATATATGGTTTTAAAATGCCATTCTTATTCCTTGTAAATCAATTACAATGCTCTGCAGATGGAGGAAGGCAGTGCACCATGAGTTATAAACAACACAAAAATTGATTTTCTTTTCTGAAGAGGTGGTATATTGCTGTTTGTCCAGCCCAGAACAGAATCTCTGAGCTCAACATGTCTCTGCCCTGACCTTTCAGGCAGCTTTACTATAGGTGTGCGTTTTGAGACCTAGGTGTCCAGAAATGATGTTCAAACTTTGGGGAAGTCACATTAGTCTCATGATTGACTTATAGAAGTCACTAATAAACAGGGAATTTGCACACTGGAAAGGTTAAGGTGAGTGAACCTGAGTATTAAACATTGAAGCTGTGCTTACATTTACTAATAATTCATATTGTCCTTGTGAATGTTTTTGAAGCATGTCTGCCACTAATGAGATGGCATTGCTTATGTCAAACCCTATCATCACCATCATCAAATTATAATGGGCATCAGGAAGTCTGTGTGCATTTGAAATGTGATAAAATAAACTGATCAGAAGAATGTGACATACGAAATTTACCTGGTTGAGATTGGTGTGGTAGAGACTCAGGTTTGGAGATTGGACGTGAATAATCCCTCAGCTGAATGGATTTTCAAATGAGATACTTAATTAATGTTTTGGAATTCAATAAATATTAATTATTTAATATAAATATTAAAAGTCATTTACCTCTGGGTGAGGACATTTTTCAGCCCACACTAAAAGAAAAAGGATAAATTTATTAATCTCCTACACAATGGGAACTACAAAAGTAACTTCATATAGGCTTTGGATGGCAGTAAGTTCTTATTCCCTTCCTCCTAAAGAAATACCTATTAGTTTACTGGTTAGGACAACAGCTGACAGAAATGACTGAAACATTCTAAAAGCAATCTATAGATTCAATGTAATCCTCATCAAAACTACAACATAATTAGTCAGAGAAATTGAAAAAAAATAACCACACCAGCATGAAAAAGCCTTTCAGCTTCACATAGAAATAAAAACAAATGAACAAAGAAAAAACCCTGGAGAGAGGTAAAACAAACCCCAATACAAAAAGAGTTGGAGAAACCACCACCCCAGATTTCATGATTTTTACAGGTCTAGAGTAATAAAAACATCATGCTTTTAGCATCACAGTATACATGTTGATCAATGAAATCAAACTGAACACCAAACGTAAGTCCACACACCTATGGACACTATTTTTGATAAAGAAACTAGAAAGACAAGCTGGAAAAAAACAGCTTCAATACATGGTGCTCACCAAACTTTATGGCTTCAAGAAGAATGCACAGAGAACTATATTTCTAACTCTGAATAAAACTCAACTCCAAGTGGATCAAGGATCTCAAAATAAGACCAGAGACCCTGAATAAGATAGCAGACAAAGTGTGTAATAGGCTTGAACTGACTGGTACAGGAAAAAAACTTTCTGAATAGGACACCTGTGGCACAGGCACTAAGACCTACATTTAATAAATGGGACCACATGAAGCTAAAAGCTTCTTTATGGCAAGATATGTATACCAGTTATGGGATTTTAAATAATCACTTCACCATATGATAGTGTTATTGAAATAACTTATAGATATGAATTCTAAATACATTTCCTATTTCTTGTTACTAAATTACAGTGCTGTACAGATGAAGGTAAGATATACATTACAAGTTCTAGAACAAAACAAAACTTGATTTTCTTTCCTGAATATGTGGTATACTGCTGGCTGTCCAGTGCAGAACAGAATCTCTGAGTTCACATATGTTTTTGCTTTGCCCTTTCTGGTAACTTTGAGTATGACAGGTGTTCATTCTGAGATCCAGGCATCAAGAAATCATAGTCAGACATTGGAGAAATCTCATTAGTCTCACGATTGACTTCTATAAGTAACTAATAAACAGAGAGTTTGCACACTGGAAAGGATAAGGCCTTAGATCCTGAGTATTAAACATTAAAGCTGAGCTTATTTTGCAAATATTTTATATTTCCAATGTAATATATTTTCCAGCATGTATGCCACTATCAGATGGCATTGCATATGTCAAATTCTATCATCACCATCATCAAGATATAATTGGCATCAGGAAGACTGTGTGCTTTTGAAATTTATTAAAATACCTTGATCAGGAGAATGTGACTTACAAAATTTACCTGCTTGAGATTGCTGTGTTTCAGACTTGGGTTTGGAAATTCGATGAGAATAATCCTTCTGCTGAATGGATTTCGAAATGAGATAGTTAATCAATATTTTGGACTTCAATCAAGATGTAATTATTTAATATTAATATTAAAAAGCATTTACCTCTGGGTGTGGATATTTTTCAGCCCGCACTGAAAGAGAAAAATGTAGAGTCAGTCTCATGCACAATGAGATCACCAAAACTACCTTTATGTAGGCTTCAGATGGCAATGATATTTTATTCCCTTCTTTCATAATAAACTCCCATTATTTTACTGCTTAGGACAAAAACTGACACAAATGTATCGAAACTTAGCAAAGTAACTTAAAGATTCAGTGCAAGAGCCATCAAAATTCTAATATAATTTGTCAGAAAAATTGAAAAAAAGAAAAACCTACCACAACAGCGTCTAAACACCTTTCAGTTTCATATGGAAATACAAAAAATAAAAATAAAAAATAAAAAACCAAACAAAAGAATGGAGAGACTCCACCAGCTCAGATTGGCCCAAGAGGTGAGTCCCTGTTCTCCTAGGAGCAGTTACAGGCCAGCAGGCAACACTCCTGCAGGCAGGTCTGATTCCCACCACCCCATCAGATCCTTTAATCACAAGTCCTACTCTGTCCTTCTAAGTCTACCCACCGCACCAAGACTTCAGCTGCTCCTTGAGACACAGACTCTGCTAGCTCCAATTGAACCAAGAGGCGAGTCATTGCTCTTCCAGCCAGTCACCCAGCCTCTAGGCCTTAGGCCCAGGGGCACAACCCATGCCCCCATTCCCCCACCCATTACAGCCCCAATTTCAGGCCAGTTGGAAAGTCTCCTGCAGGCAGAACTAACTACCTCCACTCCACATAAGACTCTGTTATCTACAAGTCCCACTTGCTCTCCCAAATCCACCCATCCCCCAAGACCATAGCTGTTCCCTGAGACACAGACTTGGCTGGCTCCCACTGGACCAAGAGGTGACTTACTGTACTCCCAGCTGGTCACCCTGCTTCAGAGGCACAACCCAAGCCCCCTTACCCCCACCCATTGCAGCCCCAGTTGTAGGCCAGCAGGCAAGACTCCTGTGGTGACGTAACCCAGGCTCAGAAAGACAAACATGATATGTAATCACTCATCAGTGGATACCAGATGTAAAGAAAAAAAATAATCAGACTACAATGCACAGCTCCAAAGAAGCTAGGAAACAAGGAGCCTAAGAGGGACACATGGATTGCCATGGGAAGGAGAAACAGAGGAGATCTCCATGAGTAAAGTGGGGATGGGAGGCAATAAAGGGGATGGGATGGAGGATGAGAACATGAGGGGATGATGGGATGGCTGAGCTGGGGGAGGGACAGAGTGGGAGAGCAATGAAAGAGATATCTTGATAGAGGGAGACATTATGGGGTAAGGGAGAAACCTGATGCTAGGGAAATTTCCAAGGAATCCACAAGGATGACCCCAGATTAGAAGACTGGCAAAGGGGGATAGGGTGCCTTAACTGGCCTACCCTGGTATTCAGATTAGTGAATTCCCTAACTGTCATCATAGAGCCTTCATCCAGTAATTGATGGAAGCAGTTGCAGAGATCCACAACCAAGCAGCAGGCTGAGCTCTGGGAGTCCAGTAGAAGAGAGGGAAGAGGATTCTACGAGCAAGGGGGACGGGGTCAAGATTATGTAGGGAAATCTACAGAGACAACTAAACCATGTTTGTAGGAACTCAGGAACTTTAGACCAACAGCTGTGGAAGCAGCATGGGACTGGACTAGGCCCTCTGCATATGGGAGACAGTTGTGTAGCTTGGTCTGTTTGAAGGCCCCCTGGTAATGGGATCAGGATCAATACCTGGTGCATGTGCTGGCAATCTGGAGCCCATTACCTATAGTGGGATGCCTTGCTCAGCCTTGCTGCAGTGTGGAGGTGCTTGATCCTGCCTCAACTGAATGTACCAGGATTTGCTGACTCCCCATGGGAGACCTAACACTTTTGGAGGAGGTGCTGGGCATATGCTGGAGGGGAGTCGGAAGAGGGATGTGAGGGGGATCTGTGATTGGTATGTAAAATAAAATTTTAAATAAAAAAAGAACAAAATAATGAAAGACAACACTGAATAGAGATAAAAAGGATACTTAATATGAAAAGAGGATGGAGAAACCATTATCTTAGAGTTCATGTTTTGTTACAGAGGTAGACTAATAAAAACAGCATGGTTCTAGCATCACAGTAGACATGTTGATCAATGAAATCAAACTGAACACCAAATGGAGGTTCACACACCAATGGACACATGATTTTTCATATAGAAACCGGAAATATTCACTGGGTAAAAAAACATCTTCCACACATGACAGAAAACTGCACAGAGATCTGTATTTACTACCCTAAATAAAAACTTAATTCCAAATGAATCAAGGATCTCTAAATAAGACCAGAGACACTGAATATAACAGAAGAGAAAGTGTGTAATAGGCTTGAACTCATTGGTACAGGAAAAGACTTTTTGAATAGGACACCTGTAGAACAGGCACTAAGACCCACACTTAATAAATGGGACCACATGAAGCTGCAAGTTTCCTATGGCAAGATACCTATGTAAGCTTTGGGATTGTCAATGACTGCTCCACTATATGATAGTGTATGCTGTGTTATTGACATAGATTGTAGATAAGAATTCTAAATGCATTTCCTATTCGTTATAATTAAATTACAGTGCACTATGAGTGAAGTGAAGCAGTGTACTATGAGTTCTAGAGCAACCCAAAAATTGATTTTCTTTTCTGAAGATATTGTACATTGCTGTTTGTCCAGTCCAGATCAGAATCTCTGAGCTCAAATAAGTTTCTGCCTTGTCCTTACAGATAGCTATGTGTGTAGGAGATCGTGAGATCGATCAGGAAATTATGGCCACACACTGGGGCAGTCTCATTAGTCTCATGATTGACTTCTACAAGTCACTAATAAACAGAGATAGCACACTGGAAATGATAAGGCAGTCTAACATGAGTATTAAACATTGAAGCTGAGCTGACATTTCTAAATGTTTTATGTTGTCAATGTAATAATTTTGAAGCATGTATGTCACTAGTGAGTTGGCATTGCTTATGACAAAACCTTCCAACATTATAGTCAAGATATAATTGGCATCAGGAAGACTGTGTGTATTTGAAATGTATTAGAATAAACTGATCAGGAGAAAGTGACTTACAAAATTTACCTGTTTCAGACTGCTGTGTTTCAGGCTTGGATCTGGAGACTAGATGACAATCATCCCTCAGCTATTTTGAAAAGAGACGTTTAATCAATATTTTGGATTTCAACAATATATAATTATTCAATATAAATATTAAAAGGCATTTACCTCTGGATGCGGAAATATACTGAAATATATCAAAAGAAATCTATAGATTCAATTTAATTCCCATCAAAATTCAGAGAAATTTAAAAAACAACCACAACAGCATCAAAAAGCCTTTCAGGTTCATATGGAAATACAAAAAAATCTTGGATAGATTTAAGAAGATTCTCAATACTAAAATACGCTGGAGAAATCACTATCCCAGATTGCATGTTTTGTTACAGAACTAGAGTAATAAAAACATCATGGTTCTATCATCAAAATAGACATGTTGATCAATGAAATCAAATTAATGTCAAAACACCTATGAATACATGATTTTTCATAAAGAAACTAGAAATATACACTGGATTAAAAAAATAGCCTCCATACATGGAGATTACCAAACTTCATGGATACATGAAGAAGAATACACATAGGAGTATTTATTACCCTGAACAAAACTCAACTCCAAATGGATCATGAATCTCAAAATAAGACCAGATACCCTGAATATGACAGAAGAAAAAGTTTTTAACAGGCTTGAACTCACTGGGACAGGAAAGACTTCTGAACAGAACACCGGTAACACTGCACTAAGACCCAAATTTAGTAAATGGTACCACATGAAACTGAAAGGTTCTTTATGGCAAAGGACACCATCATCCGGCTACATAATAGGAAAAGAACTTAATCATTCAAACCTCTAATGTACAGTTAGTATCTAAAATACATAAAGAAGAAAAATTGGACTCCCAGGAAACAACTAACCCAATGATAATGGTGTTCGGGAATACAAAGACAATTTTTAAAAGATAAAACACAAACTGCTGACAAACTTTTAAAGAAATGCTCATCTTTCTTTATCAGGAGAATGCAAACCAAAAGTACTTGGAGATTTTATTTTACTCCTGTCCACAGGGCAAAGTTCAATTAAGCAAATGACAACTCATGCTTGTGAGGATATGATGAAAATGGAACACTTGCTCATTACTGATGAGAATGTAAACTTTTACAGCCATTAAGGAAATGACTCTGGCATTTTTTCAGGAAGCTGGCTACTAATCCTTCTTTAAACCCACCTATACATCTATCTGGCATATACCCAAAGGACTCTATATCCTACTACGATAAATACCTGCTCATACATGCTCATTATTGACTATTTACAATAGCCAGATTTAGGAAACAGTTTAGATGTCCTTTAACTGGCAAATATATAATGAAAATGTGGTGAACTTACACGATGGGGTGTTTTGCTTCTATCAAAAAAAGGAAATTAGGAAATTTTCATATAAATGTATGAAGCTAGAAAAAAATCATCACGAATGAGGAGACCCAGATCCAAAAGTCAAATACTGTATAATTTCCCTTATATGTGAGTGTTAGCATTTAAGTCTTCAACATGTGTGCTTAAATCCATATAACCACAGAGACTCTGCATCAAGTAAGGGACTACTTGCCAGGATCATTCAAGTAAAGGGAAATAGAATATTTAATTGTGGAGAGACAGTGGTGGGAAGGGCGATGCAAGTGAGAGGTTAGGGTAGGAATATGGGGATGGACAATTTACTAAAATCCACATGAGAAACCATATGGAAACATAGTACTGTAGAAGAATTCTAAATACATATGCATATAAAATAAATCCAAATGGAGTCTCCAAATAAAAGAGGAGATAAATCCCCATTTAGACA